TTCTCTTCAACCTCTTAACACTGGAGTTCTGGATGTCCAGGACTTGTGGGTCCTCTTCTTTTATACTCCTTTCATGATCTCATCCAATCTCATGGCTTTAAATACCATCCATTTGCTGGTAACTCCCAAATTTATGTCTGTAGCCCAGACTTCTCTCCTGAAGCCACTATTACATTCAATTGTTGATTCAAAATCTCCACTTGGATACCCAATGGCTATCCCAATTTTAGCATATGCAAAATTCCTGAACTACTAATCTCTCCCTCCAAACCTGCTCTACCTACACGGTCTTCCCCATCCCATTCTATAGCAACTCCAGTCTTTCCACTGCTTTAGGCCAAAATCCTTGGAATCATCCCTCACACTTTGTTTTCTTTCATATTACAGAGCCAGTTCATCAGAACATCCTGAGGTGGAGACTAGCTAGATGTTAACCAAACTTTTTTCTTCTTCCTGAGCATATAGGATTCCCAGCCCCCCTTATAGCCAGGTATGGTCATGTGACTGCATCTAGCCCATGGAATGTGGTGGCCTGGCCTATTAAAACTGCCGCTGCATGATCCTCCATTCTCTGCCAGCTGAATGGAGGGAATTCCAAGTCCTGAGAAGAAGGGAGAGCCATAAGAAGATGGAAGGATCTTGGGTCTTCAGTGACCATGTGGCAGGCCACCAGACCAAGAACAGAGTCACAGATTGGATTGTGACACAAATAAGAAATATACTTTTACTGGCTTAAACCATTGTGAATTCAGGGCTTATCTAGTCCACCAGTTAGTGTTACCCTAAATATTAAAAATCCTGTTGGCTCTAGCTTTAAAATATATCAAGAATCTGACCACTTCCTACAACCTCCACTGTTACCACCCTGGTCCAAGTCAACATCATTTCCCATCTTTACTATAGCTAAAAATCTAACTGTTCTCCCTACTTCCATATATGTTCTTCTATTCTCAACAAAGGGTGATGAATACAATGGGGTTCACTATACTATTCTCTCTTTTATTTCTTTCCATTTTTTTAAAATTTTTTCAAGGCATCTCTGGGTGGACTTGAACATTCAACCTTTTGGTTAGCAGCTGAGCGGGTTAACTGTTTGTACCACCCTGGGATTCCCTTTTGACTCAAAGAAAAAAAAAATCCTTATAATGGCCAACAAGGTCCTATACAATCTTGCCCCCTCCTCTCCTATTCCTTCTCTAACCTGCTTTCCTACTAAGCCTCTCTCCCTCATTCTTTGCTATTCCTTGAGTTCACTAGGCACACTCCTCCTGCCTTAGAGCTTTGCAATGGCTGGTCTCTCTGCTTAAAGTTGTCTCCAACCAGATATCCATATAGCTTACCTTCTCAGTGAGGTGCACTCTCACCATCCTACTTAAGAATTTGCAGCTCACCCCTCTTCCTCCCTTCTCTGGAACTCCCAATCCTTAGCACCCTATGTTTATTTTTATCCAGGCACTTATTATCTTCAAACATTGTATATAATTTTCTTATTTTATGTTTATTATTTGTCTTTCTCTTGTCACTAAAATTTAAATTACCAAAGGGACAGGGAGTTTTTATTTTGGGAGGACTTTTTGTTCAATGACTAGAGTAATACCTGGCACACAATAAGCACCCAATAAATGTAAGTAGAATGAATGTAGGAAGTTTTAGAACTACCTATAAACCTAAGGCAAGGGAGGGAATAGATGTCCTTGGCCTTGGTACTAGTCTTTTCTTCAGTAGCTAGAGTAGCTAAGACCCATCTACTCCCACTCCACTCTCTTGCACTAAACAAGAAATCTAGGGCACCAGATTTCTGAGGAGGAGTGAAGAATTTATACATAGCTCATCAGAATTATTGCCCTCCTCCCCAGCCTCCAGGCAGAGATTTCGTAACTTGGATTTGGGACATCTAAGGCTATCTCTAGTTATATCATGTAATATCACAAAATTCTCAACCAAACTCCTCATGACAAAATGAGGCATTTCTGTCTAACTGAAAAACTTCTCAAAATTGGGACTTAGTTATCCAGTAGTTTTAGGAAAATTTTAGACTTCGGCAAAAATACTTATTTTTGGGGGTGAAGTGATCACAAAACAAATGTCCAGAATCAGTTCTATGATTAGGAAGAATGCAGGGCTTTGAACCAGTTCGAACCTGTTCAATTACGGCCAACAAAACAAAACTAGAACAGACCCAAATTTTTAAAATTTGAGTGAACCGGAACGATAACCTGAACGGGAAAAATTATGAGTTGAAGCCCTGCTAGAAACTTAATCTCCTCCTTAGAAAACAAGGGCAACATACATGTTGCATAGCAACCAATCTCTTGCCTGTCGGATTTTGCAGTCAGAACCAGTGGTGCCCCGCTTAAAGATGGCAGCTGACCATGCCACTTTGAATGTGTGCCACTGTCCTCAGTCATGGCAATAATCCAATCTCACGCATCAAGCTCCTGAAAGGACTCGCTATGCCTCTTCCAAGTCTCCCATTCCGAGGCTTCGACCAATAATTTTTCCCATTCTGGTAATGCTCCAGATCACCCAAATTTAAAAAATTCAGGTCTGTTTCTGTGTTGCTCCCTTGGCCATGACTGAACTGAGAAGAACTGGTTTGAAGCCCTGGAAGAATGTGGGCATCAAAACCTAATTTAGAAAGACTACTTTGTGCCAAGACTTTTTGTACATGAGGCAATTTCCAATGGGTTTACTCCTTACTGCATTTATAGCTATCTCCCCTTGCTAAGAAGTCACTCCTATACACATCTTTATTTATCTGTGGCACAGACTAGCTATGAAACTTAGACAAACTACTTCTTTGGGCCTGGTTTCTTATGATTACAAAAATATCTTAGGGGGTGTGTGTGTGAACCACTCAGTACTTTCAGATGAGAAACAAAATCTTGGGAAATCAGATAAACAATAGAATGAATACCCACAAAAGACTGGGAATCATTTCCTTAAGAGATAGCATTAAGTATTTGCAAGCGTGGGAAGGGGATTATCCACATCTCCTTTAACAATGTTATTAACCAAAGAAAATACTGTTTGATCCACTCATGAGTGATTGTTCAGCAACATAGTGCAGTTCATAGCATAGATGCTATACAGAGTCTGGATGACCTTTCCTGAGCTGAGCCCAGAATATAAACCCAGAATAACATGGACAGGTTCCTTGGCTTCCGTTTCCACAGACCAGGCTTACATGGCTTATAATGCTCCTAGGCCTGAGGAAAGAGTGCCATCTGGAGGATTCCTGTTTCCAAGAGAAACCCTCTTGTAAAACTGTGACCATAGAACAGGTCACCAACAAATCAAGATCCACAGAGAAATAGGGGCCACTATCAAGTCACTTTATGGATTTAAGCTGTTTGCAAATGCCTTTAAAAAACAAAAAACTTTAACTTCCTTTTTACGACAGTCTTGGGAAACCTTACTTGAATTTCATTTCTAAAAGTTATTGTATAGTTCTGGTTGCTATTTGGGAAGGGATTTCTTCTACTTGGCCCACAGATCTACTGAATGAGTTAAGCCTCTTAAAGTTCCCTTCCTCTCATAATCTACATGCTTTTTCTAAAAGAAAAAGTTCTAATCCCATTCCAACTCAGGTTCCTAATCAGAATAGGTACCCTCAAGGTCCCTTTAAGAACTGCTAGACCCAACTCTCATGCGCTCAGTCAGATGATTCATCCCCAACCAGATGAATATCCACTTAATGCTATCAATTGCCTTGGCCAGGAAAGAAGACGGAGTCTGCCCACTCAGTGTGCCATGGCATACAAACTAGTCACTAGGGGGACACAGTCCCAAGGGATTGGGTCTACACAGCCTGAGAAGAACTGTAATGCTGTATTTTCTGTGTTAATGGGGAGTGGGAAGAAGTGGGGAGTGTGCTTTTCAGTTACAAGAGATCCCTCCCCCAAATTGCTGTATCTGTCAAGCAACAGGAATAGCTTCTATGAACAAAAGAAATCTGCTCTTCTCTGTTAATAGTCCTGTGATGCATTTATTTTAGTTCTGCTCTTTCTTCCCCACTTTCTCAATTGCTAAGAATGCCACCTGAAACTGTGAATTCCGAAAAACAGATATTTTCTTCACCAGTGAAAATGGTCCCTTCTTCCTCTAAGAAAGACAATCTCTTTATTCTCAAAAAAGCAAAGTTGGTTCAAACAATTCTCTTTTCTGAGTTCTCACAAGACATGCTGCATATAGACAAATAGCTTATCATTAACCACAGCTGATTTCTGTTATAAGAAAACAGTCTTCTTTTTTATTGGTTCTCCTATGACACCTAAATAGGAAAAGAAAAACCAAGCAGAAGGACTTGATTAAAGGGGCTGAGCCAGAACTAAGAAGGAGAGGGTGAAGGCAAAAGAACACTTGAATGCAGGAGGAAAAAACAATTTGTTCTGTGCGTGCAACAGATTAGGAAATTGAGGACTAATGAAGCATGCCCACTTCACTGAAAACTTCCTCTGGGTATCACTTGCCTCGAAAGCACATAAAGATCACACCCCTTACCCTGTAT